AGCAAGAGTATCAGTATCAGTAGTAGTAGTATCGTCAGTAACAATAGTAGCATTAGTGGTTAGGTATTCTACACACTCATGAATACTAGAGGCAGTTGTGGTATTTGTTAACTGCGCATTAAACTGATCTTGTAGTTGTTTTGTCTTATCTAGTAGAAGCTTAAACCATTTTGAAACTTTCTCCAAATCACCGATTAGTTGCTGGATAGCTTCAGCTGTAAAGTGACCCATATTATTGTTGTATGCCTTTTCAAATGGACGGCCCAATCGCACTATATAATCAGGTCGCTCAAAAGCCGATCTATACCTCCCTTGTAAATCATAGATATACAATAGTTTTTCTCGCACCTTCTCAGCAGCTGTATCTGCTGGCAGATTCTTTATTATAGCAGCAATGTTTAGTTTCAAAGTGCGGTCTATGTGCTTTTGGTCATCATTACTGATTGGGTTAGTAGAATAAACACTTAGAGGTGAATTAGAAAGCTTCGAAAAGCTAGAGAGCAGCAGCTGCATACGTAGTATATCGTACAAGAAGTGTATGAGCTGTTTCTGAGCACAAAGGTCTGTGTTGGACACAGTTGGCTTTTTGATAAGCGTCTTCCAAGTTTCAATTGCATGTTTGATATTATCTTTAGCCAAATCAAATGACAGGGCGGGAAAGTAGAAAATATAGGAAGGAATATAAGTCCGTACAAGATCAGTAACTTCAGTGTGAAGGTCTTTATACTGACTCAAATCCAATGACCCACGTGAAGAGCGAGCGTCCTTTCCTGCAACACTCTTTGTTCGACTTTTAAGCATTTCAATATAGCGTTGACATGCGGCCTGTCCCTTTTCAATGTCATATATGGCACTATCTATTGCATACAATAGAGAGTCTTTCTCAAGATCATTAGGACAAGTCTTAGCATCCAGACTATGAATTAGGCGGCATTTGCTTAGCATTGCAACAATACGCTTTGTATCAGAATCACTTAACAAGCCAAGTTCTAACAATAGCCTCCAATTAGTTACATAATAATCTGTTGGTTTAAAATTATCAAGTACATCTCCCTCCTTAAATTCCAGCTTTGAACACTCTGGATTAGCATCATATGCAATTGCCTCTCCGGCTATCCGTAGACCATTCTCAGATTTAATACAATGGTTTTTCCAGTTTATCTTAGTGTTATTATCATCATCAGCACCAGTCATTTGACCACTAGTTATATCACTACTCCAACCCAGCAACCAAGCCAGACCAACTCCTAACATTCCAAAAGAGAACTTCATTTATAACTATCTCTCCTCAAATCTTACATTTATACCTTCTCCAAACCCGATCTACGATGCTCATACTAATATAATATCGCACTAATACACTAAAGTGATCTCAAGAGCAAAGACCGAGTAGGTATTGGTATTAGTGTTGGTACTGAGTTATTTGCGCTGCAGTATGTTTCAGAGGAGATAAGCACAAGTTATCGCATCTTTATTCTTCATCTGCCGTTCCAAGAGCGAAGAACAGTTGGGTCAAGTATGGTGTCCGTCATCCCCACACATCTTTAGGAGGCTCTCGAGATATCTCTACTTTTAGACGAGTAAGTACAGATAATGTAGATATTTATTCCTTGCTACTTTAGATAAGCCAATACATTCCAAAACCAACTCAATCTTGTTATCACTTGTTTCAGAGTATAAATATACGACGAAGATTGATAAAGGACTTCCCAAGACTTCCCAAGGCTCTCTATGACATACATGAAGGACTTACAGAAGATTATACCAGATCTAGAAACGGCACAGACTCGCATACCAACTCAATACTAACCCAATTTGTCTCTCGCTGAGTATATTTGGATAAGAAGTCGTTATCCTTCCCTAGGGCACAACAATTACAATGCTAATACTCTCTTTCTTAGTTGCTTTTGGAGGTCTGCTGTTTATCTATTGCAGAAGTGGTGTGTGGACTTTTTCCGGCATTATGCTTCTGGGTCTTCTGGGAGTAACACCAGTCTCCGTTATTGGATGTCTGGCTGTGCGTCTAATATTTTATCGCTGCTGGCCAAGCCTAGCCTGGCATATCCACTGGATCTTTTATTCCCATTCATTCCTGCTCCTTGATTCCTTGCTAATTATAGACGACCCAGCCACTAACCCGCGCAGTTGGATGCTTATGAGTCCGTGCCTTATATGCGAATCATTCCGTCTCTTTGGCCTGGGGATCATTATGAATGCTACCAACCTGGTAGTTGAACAACGCCGAGGACAAGAACAAGACGAGGACAAAAAAGAACACTGTGTTTCGATAGCCGCAAACAGAACAGTCAAAATAATAAGTCTCTTTATTGTGGTGTTAGGGCTAGTAGGGCTAGTACTCTGGTGCGGTGTTCTGGATTATTTGGAGAAGTTATTATGGAGCGTCATACTTAAAAGCCCGCCAAGGTTTAAATAATGGAAGATTTAGATAAGATTGGGTTAGTATTGGGTTAGTGCAAAAAGCTCTTTGGCCAAAAGCCATCACTTAACCCTACATTCATAAGTCGGGACAGACTAAAGACTAATTCAAGCTTACATAAATACAATCAGGTTAGATATTCGAATATTTCTAATTTGGGTTTTGAATTGGGTTAGATTGGAATGATAAAGCCAACTAACTCTAGAAGATATTGAGTTGGTATTGAGTTGGTATTGAGTT